CAAACTGAAACTATTAATCTAGAGATTTGAATGACCATGTGTCAGAAAATCCAGATGGGAATAGAGGAATGCTTTATTCAGCAAGAAGTTAGACTAGTTAATACTTAAGGTCTCCTCCAATTTAAATATTATGATTCTTTTGTCTTGTACTTTTTAGTGGCCCTTAGCATTAAAAAACATTTTCTACACACTGTCATGCAACTGGTTTTATTGTTATTTGTATGTCATTTTCTTTCCTGGTCAGTTCTTTTCCCTAATTCAAATTGAATCAGCAAATTGATAGTTATGGTCAACTCACTCTTTCAAATTCTCTTTTCCTTATATTTTTGGATTATCCCTATTTGCTTGCTCCCTTCCTTATGGCTTTACCTATTTTTCTTCTTCTTTCTTCTTCTTATCAGTAACTCTGGCCAGTCTGACTTCACGTGTATGTCTCTTAACACACCGCTTCAATTAGCTTTCTCTTTAAGACTTTTTTTAGAGCAGTTTTAGGTTTACTGCAAAACTGAGGGAGAATGTACAGAGATTACCCATCTATTATCCCTGTCCCCACATTTACATAGCCTTCCCCCTTATGAGCATCTCCGATCAGAGTGGTATACTGTTGCAGCTGATGAACTTAAATTCAGTTAGTTTTTTATTATTAGAGCCTCAGCCATGTAAGGCCATTTTATAAAACTATTGAGTACCTCTTAACACTTGTGTTTTACTTTTCCAAGTCTTTTTCTCTAGTGCATCATTTAATTTGTGTAAAGCTGATAGCAGTTCCATTCCATCAGATCAACATTATGCCAGTTAAACAGAGGAGGAAGCTTAATGAATAAACCCCCTACATTCTTTTCTCATCTCATTAACTCTGTGCCACTCCAGCTCTTTTACCTTAAACCATATTGACTCATTTTTTTATTTCTCAGATTAATTCTTCTACCTATATTGCTACTTATTTTTGTGTTGTTTTTACCCCTTAATCACTCAAAATCATCCCTCAGAATTTTTAAATAACTCTTACCCGTAAAAGATTTGAGCCAATAAAATTAACAAGTCAAGAAATGACAGATGGTGGCGAGGATGCAGAGAGAGGGGAACCCTCCTACACTGCTGGTGGGAATGCAAGCTGGTGCAACCACTCTGGAAAACAGTGTGGAGGTTCCTCAAAAAACTGAAAATAGAGCTACCCTATGACCCAGAGATTGCACTACTGGGTATATATCCTAAAGTACAAACGTGGTGCTCCGAAGGGGCACGTGCACCTGAGTGTTTATAGCAGCAATATCCACAATAGCCAAACTATAGAAAGAACCTAGATGTCCATCAACAGATGAATGGATAAAGAAGATGTGGTATATATACACAATGGAATACTACGCAGCCATCAAAAGAAATGAAATCTTGCCATTTGCGACAACGTGGATGGAACTAGAGGGTATCATGCTTAGCGAAATAAGTCAATCGGAGAAAGACAACTATCATGTGATCTCCCTGATATGAGGAAGTGGAAATGCAATGTGGGTGGGTTGGGGGGTAGGAAAAGAAAAAAATGAAAGAAGATGGGATTGGGAGGGAGACAAACCATAAAAGACTCAATCTCTAAAAACAGACTGAGGGTTGCTGGGGGAGGGGGGATGGGAGAGTGTGGTGGGGATATGGACATTGGGGAGGGCATGTGCTATGATGAGTGCTGTGAAATGTGTAAACCTGGCGATTCACAGACCTGTACCCCTGGGGATAAAAATACATTGTATCTTTATTAAAAAAAATTAATTAATTAATTAAAAAAAAAAAGGTTTGAGCCATGGATGTGAAGTAATCTACCCAGATGTTGGCAGTTATTCATGCCTTTGTAATAAGAAAAGGAAAGGGAAGAACTTAGTTCTCCCCTGCCCCACCAAAGATAACTCCTATTCAATGCATTTTAATGTCTCTATATTTTACTTTGCAAATTCCTAATTTCTTACTATATAATTGTGGTTTATATAGTGTTTATGTTATCATTACTTTATTATTAATGTAGACTACTGTTTTATTGATTTTAATTGGAATAATTTTGGAACTCAAAAGATGGAGAAGACAGAATGTTTAATTTGTCTAAAATAGTATGTGCCTATGAGTTCCTAATGTTTAATGAAGAAAATGACCATTGAGTAAATTGACTATTTCTGGTTTCTCTCTGTGAATGTAGCATGGATAGTTTGTGCTAATAGTCTAGCAGTTTTATAGTTTTAGAGAGGAATAAGAATATGAGTATGAGTTCTTATTTTGGTACATATGAAGTAGTAACAAATGTGAGAAATAAAGACAGTATATTTATAGGTTTTTAAGTGTTGTCAGGTGTCATAGAATCAGTTACACTGATTTTGTCCTTTTATTCTTTTAATAAGATTCATTATTCTCATTTTTGTATATATTAAATCAACCGTGAATTTTTGGAACTCTGTTTATACATCTTTACGTCTTCAAAGACAGATATAATATTGGTAAATAGTTGACACTCAATATTTGTTTAATAAATGGGAGGGGAAAAGAAATAATGTTAAGCAAAAATCACTACAGGATTTAACTTTGTGATTGAAAACAATGAGTTATGTAAACCTACTTATTTAAACCAGCTTAGGAAAAGACTTTTCAGTGACTCTAAACCTATAAATCATATAAATAAATAGAATGGGAATACTTTATAGATTTGAATGGTATGAAAATCTATAAATCAAAACCGTTATACATATGACCATGTTTTACTAAAATAATTCCATGCAACTATTGTATTAATATGTCAGTTGGAGGTTTAGAGTGACAAACATTGGACGTGGTATCAGGATAGGAAATGAAACATGTTTTACTTTTATTAAGGTTAGAGATGCAGTCAGAATACAAAGCAGAGGGATCAGCAATTTTATTTAATTGTAAGTGGTGCTGTAAACTTCCAGGACCCCACAAAAGAACCTTAACCAGTAGACGTGCAGCTTCAGTGTCTGAGTGTGTGAGTGTTCTTAAAGATTATGGGCCCTCTTCAGGCCCAGCCTTATATAAAGGGACTATACCTGACTAGGATGCAGCCTTGCCTAGATATATCCAGGGAGATATGTTGCATCCAGACTAGATATTAATCCCATAATTATGTGGTGCGTAATACGACTACTAGAGGATAGCACATGCGCACTACAGAGACATAACCAAATTCCCATTCATTATTCTTAATCTACTCAAACCTGTTATGTGAAGTACATTCCTGAATTTGGTAATGTAGAACTAGATTAAGAGTTAACTACCTACATATACCTGACAATCATAATAAAAGGCTTTTAACCAGCTATAGAGATTACCTAACCCTAGAAGATGCCAGTGATGGAAATCAGGAAGTGTTTAAAACTATTGGAAGACAGAAAAGATATTACTTCCTGTATTATTCAGAACATAACTTAGTTAAGGTCTTTTATTTTTTATTTTTTTAATTTTTTTATTAATTATCTTAGTTATGGTCTTAAAGAGAGGCTGTAGGAAGTTTGTGTGTCTTAGTAGCCAAAATATCAGTAGAAGCACAGTCAACCACTTGCTCATCTTTTTAACTACCTCCAAAATTAACTGCAGTTGATATTATGAGTTCTCTGATTATTGGGGCTACATTTTATTTATTTTTGTATCTTTCAAAATATATAACAGGCATAATATATAAAAGGCAAAATATATATTAGGTACAGTAGAACAGGTACAATATATATTAGATGTTCAGTAAATGTTTATATATTTTTTAAATTAAAACTTAAATTTTTAAAAATTAAAAAAAAATTTTAGAGAGAGGGAGCACATGCAAGCAGGGATGGGAGGGGCAGAGGGAGAGGGGGAGAGAGAATCATTTTTTTTTAAGATTTTATTTATTTATTTGACAGACAGAGATCACAAGTAGGCAGAGAGGCAGGCAGAGAGAGAGAGAGAGGAGGAAGCAGGCTCCCTGCAGAGCAGAGAGCCCGATGTGGGGTTCGATCCCAGGACCCTGGGATCAGGACCTGAGCTGAAGGCAGAGGCTTTAACCCACTGAGCCACCCAGGTGCCCTGGGGAGAGAGAATCTTAAGCAGGCTCCAGGCTCAGTGCAGAGCCCAACTCAGGCCTCACTCTCACAACCCTGAGATCATGACCTGAGCTGCAATCAAGAGTTGATGCTTAACTGACAGAACCAGCCAGTCATCCTTGTATTTTTCATTTGTAGTCTAAGCTCAACATGTTTACATTCTTTTATAATTATGAGTGAAAGATACAGAAATATAACCTTTACATTTTTTTAATAGTTGTGATACTCAAGGAATTTAGACATTGCTTTTTACTGTATTTTAAAAACTCAACACAAACATTTTATTCATTTTTGAATTTGTATTTCATTTTTGAAATTGCTACTATACTGCTTTAATTTTACTTCAGTGCTGTTTAAAGAAGGTTCTTAGATATATTTGGTACAGAGTTCTGTGATGAGTTTCACTACTTGGACACTATTGAGATTCTTCTATAATTAAATATAGTCCAAAACAATTTTATGTGTTTATAAGTTGAATAGCTTAAGTAAATGTAAGAGAAACCTTCTTGATAAGATTTGGAATGGTAGTATAGGTTTTACTTCTATTTAAAATAGTGAAGAGGGGCGCCTGTGTGGCTCAGTTGGGCATCTGCCTTCGGCTCAGGTTATGATCCCAGGGTCCTGGGATTGAGCCCCACATTGGGCTCCCTGCTCAGCAGGGAGCCTGCTTCTCCTTCTCCCACTCCCCTTGCTTGTGTTCCCTCTCTCCCTGTCCCTCTCTCTCTCTGTCAAGTAAATAAATCTTAAAAAAAAAAAAAAAGTGAAGAATGTGATTTAGGTAGTAGATAGTAAAATATATAGCGATTTCATTACAGGGGAAGGTTTTATTTCCTGTTCTGCAACAAAGAAAACATTTAGAATAAGGCTAATTTTTAACTTTTTGAAATACTTAATGTTCAGAATTTCTGACTTTGGCTATTTGTCCAAATCACACAGGCAAAAGGGGCAGCTAGCTGTGGAAAGAGCTAAACAAGTGGAGGAGTTCCTACAGCGAAAACGGGAAGCACGGCAAAATAAAGCTCGAGCCGAAGGACATATGGTATGTTTTGTTTTTTTTTTTGAGATTTTGAACATATTAATATTCAAAGTGAAGGTCTGGAACAAGGTAGGTATAAATGAATTCTAAATCTTTACAAACATTTACTCTAAACTTTATAAAGTTATGATATATCTTAACCATATGTCTTCTGCCATATTCTTTATACCAAGGCGAAATTCTATGGATGTTTTGGTTAATTAGGAGTAAGTTCATAGCTGTATTCTTCCTTTAAAAAGAGAAGTAGATTTAGCAAACTAGATATTTGTATTAAAACAAATGAGTTTTTACATTGCTAGATTTTTTTTCAGACATGCTTTTGGTTTTAAATACTTTTAAGTAGCAAAGAATTTTGAAAGAAAACTGGGAAACAGTTTGATAAATATGTATAACTGTATTACCTTCTCAAACACACATTAGAAGCAAAAGTATATTAAAACCCCCATTATGCCAGCTAATTTAATTAAGTCATGTATCCAAGAAAATATTAACAGTTTTTAGATCATCATTTTAGTTAGTTAAAACTTAGTAGTTTGACTTGTAGAGGTACACAAAATGCCTTTTGACCTTTTGTCTACAGAACAATTGATGATTGTTTCTATCAGCTCACCACTCCGTGAAGCATCCTACTAACATAGAAAATAGGTCAATTATATGATAATGTGTTTTGATTACCTTTATAACTGCTGTAAATTCATAAGTGGTATCTTTGTGAGTTAATGTAATTATTTCAATTTAGGATATTTTTCTTTGAAATAATATCATTGAACGATTGCTTAGATTTTTTTAATGGTTATGCTTTATATTTTAACACCTGAATTCGTTTTTCTAATTTTGGAATTAATCTTTATTTGTATCCTTCCTGTAGATGGTACAAGAGAACCTCCTGTGTTTTCTCTTACCCCATATCTCCAAAGTTAATAGCATTTGGAATTTTAGTTACAGATTTTAATTTAAAATATTTTAAAACAATTATTAGACTTGTCAGGATTTATATATTTCTTTCCTCATCATTACATTCTATTTTGCCCTCACTTTATTTTTCTTTATGATGGAGAATATTCTCTGGCAATTCTTTTGGACAGAAACTTCCCAAGATATGTTGGGAATCTTCTTTATTTTGTCCTCATGCTTAAATGATAAGTTGTGGTGGTCAGTTGGTGAATATGTTTAGCATTTGTATGTCTGAAAAATTATTTTGCCTTTTTTGAGAAACATTTTTGGTGAGTGTAATATTATATGTTGAGATTTTTTTTCTTTCAGTACTTTAAAGATGTTTCTCCAGTTATCTTTTGGCATGTCTGTTTCTGACAAGTTCACTGTCCTTCTTATCTTTCTCCTGTATATGGAATATGTCTTTCTTCTCTACTGACTTTTAACATATCAATGGACACAATTTGGTTACAGTGTAGCTTTGTGTGGTTTTCTTCATGTTTATTTTGTTGGAATTCATTGAGTGTCTTGGATCTGTGGATTTATAATTTTCATCAAGTTTGGAAAAATTACATTTATTATTTATTCAAAAATATTTTTTCATTCTCTTGTTTTTGATTCTGAGACTCTCAGTACCCATCCACTGGACCATGTGATGCTCTCTCAACAGCTCATTGAAGGTCTGTTCATTTTTTTCACTCTTTATTATATTTTTCATTTTAAATAGCTTTTATTTCAATATCTTCAGGTTCATTAATCTTGTCTTCTGCTTTGTCTAATTTATAAATCCCATGCAGACATTGTGATTTCTTTTAATCTCAGAAAACTTTTTCATCTTTTTTTTTTTAAGATTTTATTTATTTATTTGACAGACAGAGATCACAAGTAGGCAGAGAGGCAGGCAGAGAGAGAGGAGGAAGCAGGCTCCCTGCTGAGCTCCCTGCTGAGCCCGATGCGGGGCTGGATCCCAGGACCCTGGGATCATGACCTGAGCCGAAGGCAGAGGCTTAACCCACTGAGCCACCCAGGCGCCCCAAAACTTTTTCATCTTAACATTTTTTTATTTCTTAAAGTTTATTTGGGTCATTTTTATATTTTCTGTCTCTTTTTATAATGTTTATGCTTTTCTCTACATTCTTGAATTTGAATATAATAGCTGTTTTAATGACTTTCTGTAATAATTCTGTTATCTTTGTCATTTCTAATTGGTTTTTCTCCTCATTGGGGTCTTTTCCTGCTTTTTCACATACCTGGTAATTTGCTAGATGCCAGGCAGTGTGTGTGTGTGTGTGTGTGTGTGTGTATAAAAATCTTGGATTTTTTCATATTTAAATATGGTGGGGCTTTATTCAGGGAGGCAGTTAAGTTACTAGGGAATAGTTTTTTGAGTCTTTCAGGGTTTGCTTCTAAGATCTGCTAGGCAGATTCAGAACAGCCTTAAGTCTAGAACTAATTTGGCCCCATTGCTTCAAATACTGCTTCTTCTCCTTTTTCTCTTAAGAGAATTCCTATTAGATGGATAGATTGGAACTTTCATCAAATGTGCTTTTCTCTGTACTTTTACCTTTTGTCCCTTTCTCATCCTTTTTATCCCTTTCTCTCTTACTACTGTATTTTAGAAATATTCCTAGATTTGGTTTTTAGCTCACTAATATATTCTTAAGTATTGTCTACTCTATAGTTCAGCCCACCTAGTGAGTTTTTTCTTTTCATTTAGAAACTTGTGTTTTCATATCCATGAATTGTAATTATTTTTCCCCTAAGTCTCCTTAATCATATTCTCATTTCTCTGATAATACTACAGTAATTACAAAATCTTGTTTTTAGTGTGCTGTTATTAGTTTCCTCTGTTTTTGAGTTCTCTGTTTCACAGTGTTGGCATTCATCAAATTCTTGGTGTTCTTGACAATATTCATATTTGGCTGTAGCTATTTTTTGCTCATTACCTTTGTTTGATCTCCTGGTGAGATGGGAGAATGCTACTGACCTGTCTCCTGCATAGTTTTCAGTGAGAGTAGAGAATGGATGGGACATGTATTAATAATCTGCCAGGCAAATACCTCGACAGTTTATTTTCTGGGCTAAGGAGACTGTCATTCTTCTTCATTATAACCAGTCATTCAGAGAATTAGCCTGTCTTTTACCACTATGCCCTCTCTGATCACTTCTATCTGAAGGTGACTGACTACTTTCTGGCTTGTGGAGATGAGTAATGCAATGGAGGTAATCCTCTTACTGCAACCACTGTTATCTGCTTCTAGACCTTCTCATGTTTTTAGCTTCCAAGAAGTCTGAGAGCATGCTTCATGTTGCTCATACCTTCTGTGATAGTATTCTTTCTGACATGCTTTTGCTAATAAAGTTTCTCACTTAAAACTGATTTTGTATACTTTTCTTTATCTCTGGATTCCTTCTGTACTTGGAACTACCAAGACTTTTGCTTGTTTTTGAGTCCTAATATATATTCACTTTAAACAGCTTTCTTCTAGGATTTTGCAAGAAGAGAAGCTATAGTGTCATGCTGCCGTCTTACAAACAGAATTTAGTATTTTTATCTTGTTAGCATTAAAAAAAAATCCTTAGAGATGAGCAGTGCATTTTGACTGATTTTTTAATGACCTTCCAGATTCATTTTGTTAAACTGTATAGAATTTCTTCATTCCCTAGATGACTAAATGTATACCTAAAACTTTACCTTAGAAATATGTGAGTAAGAGTGAAGAATTTCTATTTTACTATTTTATATTTGGATATTGCCTCATATATTAAGTTTTTTATATCTGCTAATTTAAAACCAAGGCAGTTAAAAATTTTGGGAGTAGTAGCTTAATTAATGAAATGTTACTTAACTAAAGCTTTCTCACATATAGTTTGTCTCTAGAGTAATTTATCATCTTAAGATTGAATAAGAATATATAAACTAGTAATGTGAAGCAGTAAATAGAGGTGAGAGCTAAAGTTAACTGTGGGGAAGGCCTACAGATTTTAAATTTGAAATTAGAACTTTTTTTATGGTGAGATAGAGATACTATTTAAAATTTGCCTTTCTGTATTAGTTTTCTATTGCTGTGTAACAAGTGACCATAAACTTAGTGGCTTAAAGAAATACAAGTTTATTATAGTTTCTGTGTGTCAGCAATTTGACCGGTTTTTACTGGATCCTCTGCTCATGGTCTCATAAAGCTGAAATCATGGTTCAGCCAGCTGTGTCCTTATCTGATGCTCAAGTAGGGCAAGATCTTCACTGCTTAAGGTGTTGGTAGGGTTTTTTTCTTGCTGTAATAGGATTGAGGTCTTCATTGTCTGATTAGCTTTTGACCAGGAGTCAGTCTCAATTCTGAGAGACCACTGTCAGGTCTTTGCCATGTGGCCCCCTTCATGTCCACAACAGATAATTTCTTGCGCATCAAACCCCTCCCATACTTCAAGTTCCTGACTGCCACTTCTAAATCCAGCTGGAAAAAACTCTGATTTTAAAGAGCTCATGTGATATCACATCATACCTGTCAAAATGGATAGTATCAAATAAGAAATAACAAGTGTTGATGAGGACATGGAGGAGAGACCCCTTGTGCTGTGAATAGTAATGTAAAGTGGTACGGCTACTGTGGAAAATAGTATGGAAGTTTCTCAGAAAATTAAAAATAGAAATATCAGCGGACTCAGCAATTCCATTTTTGGTTATTTACCCAAAATAAACAAAGGTACTAATTCGAAAAGATATATGCACCTCTATGGTTATTGCAGCATTATTTAAAAAAGCCAAGATATGGAAACAACCTAAGTGTCCACTCATAGATGAATGAATAAAGAAGAGATTGTATGTACACACATGCATGAATGTGCATGCACACACAGAGGACTACTACTCAGCCATGAAAAAGAATGAAATCTTAACATATGTGACAACATAGTTAGACCTAGAAAATGTTATGCTAAGTGAAATAAGTCGGGGGAAGACAATAAACTGTATGACCTCATTTATATATGGAATCTAAAAATCAAAGTAAGAAATAGATTCATAAATACAGAGAACGAATTGGTGGTTGCCAGAGGGGCTAAGGGTGAGA